CACAGAGCTGCTAGGTGAAGTGAACCTGAACTGCTGAAAAACCAGGGATATGCTTACGGCCGACAGCAATCCTGGATAAAACAGATGGTCCAAGACAAAGCCAGGATATGTCAGGCTCAAGGATGATTCAGCTCACTAGGAAGAAGACAGGAACATGGTCAGTTTCAGGGTCTTGGTCTTAACTAAGGTCATTCTGACCCTAAGTACTTTCTCCTTGCCTAGAAAGGCCTCACGTCAGCTGGACCTGGGTAACAAGAAACGTGGTACCAAGTTCAACCCAAAGCAACATAACCTGCAAAGCTGGAAAAGAAAAAAAGGACAAAGATACAGGATACACTGACATTCTGGGGCCATCAGTTTAAGAAAGGACAATTTCATTTGCTGGGACTACAAGACCCAAGAGGTTTCGTTACCCAACCTGAACGCTGCTCTCAGAGTTCCATTTCAAAATCAGTGCTTTGACATCTGAGTACTGTATATGTAACTGGAAGCAACTTCCTGGCGTTCTTTTTTCAAAAATTTGTGTCTGGTTTATTTTACTTAGCATAATCCCTCTGAGAATCATTCATGCTGCTGCCCGTGTCAACAGTTCATTCCCCATTGCTGAGCTGTTTCCCTTGGTAGAACAGGCCACAGCTTCTTTATTCACTCACCTAGTGATGGGTCCTTCCAGCTGGGGACTGTTACAAATGAAGTCGCTACCTACTAAGCCTTGCATGGACATACTTTCTCCTGCGTAAATACCTAGGAGTGGAATGACGTAAGTGTACGTTTAGCTTTTAATGAAACGGCCAAACTGGCTTCTGAACTGGTTGTACCATCTTGCATTAACTCTCACCAGCAGTGTCTGAAAATTCCACGTGCTCTACATCTTCACCAACACTCAATATGATCAGTCTTTCTAATTTTAGACATGCTAATGGATGTTAGGTGGTACCTCACGGTTTTGTTTCCCTCATGACCCATGATATAAAGCATCTTCCATGTGCTTATTGGCCATCTGTATATCCTCTCTGGTGAAGCGCTCAGATCTTTTGCCTACTTTTTATCAGGTTATTTTATTATTGAGTTTTATCACTAGCCATTTTTTAAAAGTCAAACCTTCCCCCCCATGACTAAGCAGTCTCTACAATGAGAAAGCATTTCATCACAAAAGCACAAAATTTGTGAAACATCAGACTTCTTGGTTCAACTTGCCACAAGGTTGAAACAACCCTAATTGCAAAGAAAAGTCAAAACCACAAACTCTACTTTAACCTCAGACCTGTATATTACCAGGAACATAAAATGCTCTTTCATCTTTATGCTCAGTTGACAGTGATGCTGCACCGTCCAACACAGCCGCCGCTAACCATGTCTGACCCTTGAGCACTGGAGATGTGGCTAGTCTAAACTGAAATGTGTTGTAAATGTAAAACAGACGCTGGAATTTCAGTGATTTAGGGTAAAAAAAACGAATGTAAAAGATCTTGTTAATAATTTGTACACTGATTACATGTTGAAGTGATATTCTAGATAATCTGGGTTAAATAAAATATATTATTAAACTTATCTTCACCTGTTTCTTTTTACTTTTTTTAAAGTGGCTACTACAAAATTTAAAAAACTATACATGTGGTTTGTGTTATGTTTCTATTGGATAGCACTGACCACAAAGTTTTAAGGCAGACCCTGAAGATAATGTATCTCCAACTGGTAATGGAAAAAATACATACATATAGTATCTTCCCCGCCCTAGTCCTCGGAGGTGTGAAGAGAACAGTGCAGAGGAAGGGGCTGAGAACTGGACTCAGGAGTCGTCTGAGGTTGGAGGCCCAGCTCTGTTACTCTCCGCTCTGTGTGACCTTCAATAAGTCATTCACCTTCTGTGGATTTAAGTTTCCTCACCAGCTTTTTGGTTTCTGTTTTTTTAATTCAAAAAGTCAACAAAAGCGTATCATGTGCCTACTTTTTACAAAGCATCATTCTAGAATTGCAGATCTTGAGCTAACAGTTTAATAGAAGGCAAACACACTAACAACTATTATGAAGACAAAATAAAAAGAGCTCCCAGAGAGAGCAAACCAGCCTGTATGGCTGGGTGGCAGGTGCATGTATCAATGTGTTTTAAAGGAGAGAGTACCTTTAAGGACTTACGGAAAACTCCAAGCACTTACAACACTCCTCCTAACTCTAAAATTCTGTGCTCTTAAAAAGCATTCATCATGCTATAGAGTAAGCATTATTATACAGGGAACTGATGACATTTGCTCAGGTCCTCCCCGTGAGTGTAATGATACAGTAAGAAGTAAATGACATGCCACTGACGAGGTTGTTTTACGTGAAGGAACAATTCTGCAGTACATCTCAAGCTTAACCAGGACCAAATATTCTCCAACACACACCAACCCCTCAGCCAAAACATACAATTCCCCCACCCTCTCATGTCTTCAGGGGCCATGATTTACCAAGACACCCTGATGCTGTTCATTTAAGCGGCATTTCCATAAACTGGATGTGCATGGCAACTACTGTATTTAGGTCACAAACTCACAGAAGAAAAGTCCATCCTGAAAATAAATTTATAAACAATTATGTCATATCATATAAACTGAACTTACAAGCAAACTCCAAGAAGTCTACATACAAGGATTCCCTTGTTCACAGCATCCCTCAGGCAGCATTTAAGGGTAAAAAAAGTTGAGGCCCAAGTACTGAACTTAGCTGTCTTCCCTGAGGTACGGAAACTTAATTGCCTAAAGTGTGCTAGGAAATACAGACCATGGTTTTGTTTTAAAAAAAAAAAAAAAAAAAAAAAAAAGCCTAACCCAGCCCAGGATTCTTACCTGATCATGGCAAGGAAGGATGTTTTTATGGGAGGGTGCTACTGTTCTCTCGGCTACAAGAGCATAACATCAGGGGTACACCCCCTAAAAATCATTCCAGTTTCCCTTAGTCACTCTTCATTCAATAGCTATGAATGTCATCTAAATCTTTTAAAGCTTGTGCTTATTCTGTTTGGAATTCCACTTTTAAGGTCAGCATCTTCCAATGTTTCCTAAAAGCTATGATGAGAACTCCTGAACTTGTCCCAAATATAGCTTAAGAAATAATTTAAGGCCTATCCCCTAGTTTCATTATTCCAATTTTGGTGGAAAGGTTCATATTTGCCTACCCAAGCCCTTCATCGGAAGGGTTTTCAGTCACAGCCCTTCTACACATTTCTCTTTCCCAAAGGAAACAACATAAACGCAAGCAGCATGGTACAGGAGAAAGACTAGATGCGGAGTTGGGAGATGTCTTTTCCAGCCTCAGTTCAACCTCTCATTCCCTGTAGATCTGGACAAGTCACTGAACCTCTCTGGGCCTTGAGGGCTCATCAAAAATGAAAAAGACAAGATGATCTGGAAGTTCTCATCCACACCTTCTGTTTTAACCTGTCCTCCAGCCGCTTGATTATTTTAGATGCCCTTTTCTGGTGCTTCTCCAATGCGTTATGTATTTCGGACTTGAAGTACTTGTAATAGACTATGTCCCAATAAAAGTAAGTTACGGCTTTACTCCATAAAGCCATAAAGTAAGATTTTTATTTTGACTCTCAAGCTACCTTTTTTTTTTTTTTTTAAAGAACTTGGCTCACTGAAGGAACATGGTAAGTGGTTTTTTTTTAGATGTTGGGGGTAGGAGTTTAATTAATTAATTTATTTTTGCTGTGTTGGGTCTTCGTTTCTGCGCGAGGGCCTTTTCTAGTTGTGGCAAGCGGGGGCCACCCTTCATCGCGGTGCGCGGGCCTCTGCACTATCGCGGCCTCTCTTGTTGCGGAGCACAGGCTCCAGACGCGCAGGCTCAGTAGTTGTGGCTCACGGGCTCAGCCGCTCCGCGGCATGTGCGATCCTCCCAGACCAGGGCTCAAACCCGTGTCCCCTGCACTAGCAGGCAGACTCTCAACCACTGCGCCACCAGGGAAGCCCTCTCAAGCTACTTTTGACATCAAGGATTTATCCCAGAGATATGGGGGTGCGCGGAAGGGGGATGTGGATTAGACATGCTCAGTCATAGGTGAGTTCTTGAGGCTGGATGATGGGTACATGCTGGTTCACTATTCTATCTACTTTTCCATGTCTGAAATTCTCCATAATACAAGGTTGAAAAAAACACCACTGTCAACGTGAGAAAATAATACCGAACTGGCATTAATACAGGACTCTTTTCTACCATCTCTGGCAAAAGGACAATTGCTTTTCATACCGTTTCCCTTGGGTTGAGATAGAATCTCAAGACATGAAACTAAACAGACGTACTCAAACTTCAGCCAAAATTAAGGAAAATGAACCAGAAAGCAAATTCTTCAACGGATCTCAAGAAACTTATCAGCGAGAAGGTCCGCGGCACAGAGGCCTTGAGCAGTGAGGCACTGGTATCCAGTACAGCATGGAGCTTAGTTCCACAGAACTACAGTATGTTTCATACGGTATATTTTCCCTAACTTTTCAACTGCGAAAGTTAAAGCCCTCTGTGACACGGACAGTGGAGAAATAAGACCCTCCGGTAAGAGGATGCTTCGCAGGGCGTGAAATCAAAACGGAAAGGCAAGGGATATCGAGGGTTAAGAAATCCTGAAGAAAGCAAAATGGGGATCCTCTGAGGAACAGGAGCGGAAAACGTACATCCCAGGGACACCAAAGAACTTGAGCAGTCACGGTGAAGGCGCTTCCCCGTGATCTTTCACCCTCCCGAGTGCGCGGAGGGCAGGCCGCGGGGGCCGGGATTCGGCAGGACACGCGGGGGCGCGGGCCGGAGGGCGCCGCGGGGACGGGCGGGCCCGCTCCACCGCAGGGAGGGCGGCACGTTCCGGCGCCGGGAACCCCCGGCAGCGGCAATGGTGCCTCCCAACGCCGGGGGG